TATCCACTCTTCCCCCCCATTAATGCATTCTTCCTTAACCACACCATTATAATAAAGCCCTAATGCCTTTGTAAAAAAAAGCCCTCCTGAATAATTCATTTTGCTTCCTTGTGCTAAATCAGACCATTGGTCCATCTAGTTCAGTATTGTGTACTATGACTCTCCAGGATCTCAGGCAGAAAAGGCTCCTCCCCTGAGATAAAGAGATAAAGAAATGAAGGTTGGGGGTGGGTGGGATTTTTTTCTTCATGAATTTCTTTTCAGGTTTTCCAATGGGAAAATTGGAAATTTGGGGAAGCACCGGGGGAAAACTTAACTAAAAGATTTTATCTTCTGGAATTAGTTAAATGCTTTCAAAGACAAGGTTCTACTCACTAAGAACATGCAGAGAAAATATGTTTATGCAAGATAATCAACAGCATAAGCTAATGATAAGTTTTGTGTTTACTTTGTGTGTGTATATATGGTTGTTATTTAAACGTGACTGATTTTGTTCATTATCAATATGCTGTGATGTGTATAATACATTATTAAAGAGTTCAGTATTTTCAGTGTTATACTGGTTAGCTTAATATACAAACATGCTGGTAGACCTACCTGCTGTGACTACATGAATCTGTTTCTACTCAAATAATACAAGTTGTCTTTAACACAAAATTTATTTGCTGATTTCGTTTATTTTTCCTACCACTCTCAGATGACAAAAATTAATATACACATGCTAAGGCAGCATAGGGTATCAAAGTTTGCAGTTCTCTTAAGCATTAGATATGTTTCTTGCAGAAGATTAAGCCATTTTAATTTCGTCATTAATATGCCAAAATAGTACTATTTTACATTGTTAAAACAGTGAAATGAATTTAGGTTTGATAAGAAGGTATTGCTTATATTTCCATTCCCCCCCCCCCCAAGGTTTCAAAATATCTAGAAATTGTCCATCTTTAGCTAGACATGCCAGGGACTGAACCTGGAACCTTCTGCATGCAAAGCATGTGCTGTACCACTGAGCTACTGTAAAAGATGTGGATGGATTAGTTATTAATGTCCAGCTATCCTGGGGCTAAGCAAAACTGCTTCGTGTGGCCTGCCCATTCTTGTTATAATACTGAGAATTAAAGTTTTCATTTTTTTAAGCGTCTTCTGTCCCTCATGGCCGGAGGGCTATTAACACATGTGACAGCAAAATGGTTAAAGCTTCAAACTGAGGAAACAAGTCAAATGAAGATCAAAATTATGATGTTTGACAACTGACATGATTTCGAAGTCCAGTTTTTCAAGAGCTTAGTCAGAACCTCTTTGCATCAGAGGATTAGTATTTCAGAATAAGGCTATACTACATTGTGAGGCTACTATCGATTCACATTTGCCAGGCTCATGCATGTTATGTTAATAGCATGCAACCAAAATATGCAAATTAGCCACAGCTTGGTGGCTGATGATGAGCTATTTCCAAGGAGAATCTCTGTCACTATTGAAAACAAATTGTTCTTCCTGGTCGCCATCCTTTCTCTAGCTGCTGCAGCAGAGGGAAGATGCAACAGCTCTCTACAGTTATGGCATGACGCATCCCTTGTTTGACTTTCCCATCTTCAGCTAATAAGGTTTAAAAGACAATATTCCCCAGTCATCTGATAGCTGGGGTAGTTTTAAAAGTAAAATAAAACTGGAGGCACACTCAGAAAGATATATTTTCTCCACATGGAACAATACACAGACATCCCCCTTACAGCTGTGGGGTAGCCCAGATAATAATACTGCCTCCTCATATTCTACCTGTCCCTTTGTGCAGTTAGTCATAGCTCAGAGATGGGACCTTGATTTTTTGGCAACTGTGATGCTTTATGGATTTCCCCTTGCCTGCTGGTAGTAGAGCTAGTTGCATCAAGAAATCCTGGCACATCTTATAGGGTGATGTCAATATTTATCTGCTGGTACAGAGCAGGGAGTCGATAGTGCCTGGTACCTCCCTGCCCAGCATGCCTAAATTGATGCAGTCTAATGTGGTGGTTTAGTTTTGCAATGCACACTTCATCTCCTTTCACACACAGTAATGGCCCAAAGACAAAGGCTAGGAACTGCTAGCTTAAGGACTGATGTAGATCCTGATGCTTTAGCTAAAAGTCTCTGTGAAAATCCTTCATTCCTTTGCAGACCTCATTATACTAAGGGCAGAACAAATTTGTCTATGCACCAGGCATGTGTGTGACCTGAGCAATAACTACGGAAACTGAATCATATGGGGAATCATGCACCATAGTTCTCCCCCCCCAAAAAAATGTTCATGCACCATAGTTCTCCCCCCCAAAAAAATGTTTAGCTCCTGATGCTATAATCAGCCTAAGCAAAGAAATAAAGATGATGAAGAATAAAATAAAACGGGGGGGGGGGGGGGGGGGGAGTGTCCACTGCATGACTCACAATGGTCAATAGAGGGCACCATTGCCCTGTATCTGTCTTGAGGAAAGCCACTAGCAGGGCTAGACAAGCCCAGCTGCTGGGAAAGAACTGCGTTGCAGCAACAGGAGCTTGTAACAGAGGCTGCTATTCATCTCCTGCCTAGTCTTACCTCAATGCAAATGCTGCAGTGTGAACTATTTACGCTAGATATGCATAGACTGCAGCTAGAGAAAACAGTTTTTGTGCCAAAGCTGAAATTTTAAACTCAGACTGGACTTGGGTTTGATACCCTTGCTGTTCCGAGTAACAGAGAATACCAGGTTTGCCACCTGAAGAGGACCGCACAATATACTAAATTAATGCTCAAGGCACAGGAGGAGCTCTAGTCTGTTCTGTTCTGTGCTCCCCTCTCTATCCAAGCCTATACTTCCCCACCAAACACATAACGCCCTTTCACACTGTCTGCTCTGACAACACACATGTTGCAGATTCTTTCCCAATACACACAGTTCTCTTTCCCAGCAGCTGCCTGTTTGGCATTTCACACTGGAGACAAATCTCCCCGGACCAAAACAAATAAGACAGGCTGCCCTCAGATTACTAAATATCACTTTACACATTCATACATATTTGAAAAATCAAGAGAGAGATTTAGTGCTTGACCCTGTGTATGTTTGCTTGCAAGTAAGTTCTACTGTGTTCAGTAAACGTGTATC